GAGGTCTGACTGGGGGAAGTGTGGGGTAGAGGCAATGTCCCCGTAGACACCTCCTCTGCCAGCAAAGTCAAGTCCAGGAGGAAAAGAGGGAAACTTAGGAATGAATCTATGAACAAGGAAGAGACTGTGAGGAAGGAATCTCACCTGGAGGTTTAGCACAGACCCGCCTTCTAGGTTCCCCACCCAACCAGCTAGACGGAAAGCATCATTTCCTGACCCAGCTTCCCCCTTGAGGAAGAACAGGGAACCAGTCTCTTGCTTCTTGAAGTCTAGTGTTCCTTGGGCCCTGAATATTCTCAGGGCCAGTGGTCTTGTCATCCCAGCCTTCCCCGTTTGCCCAAGCATCCAGACTGTGTGGCCCCCAAACAGATCCTGGGTTCCCCTACTGGGACCAGATCCTGCATGCCTGGGCCCTGACAGCTGGCCTCAAGATTATGGCTGCCGTGCCCACTCACGGCACGGGTGATGCTGACACGGATAGAGCTTGAACATGCCATTCTCCCTTGGCACTATAATTTGGCCATTTCCAGGGCAAATTACTTCTTTAAACCTCTATTTCTTCATCTGGAAATAAGGGATAGTAATGTCCTAGCTCATCAGATTGTTCTAAGAACCAAATGTGTTAACACATAGAAAGCACTTAGCAGAGTGTGGCAAGTAACTGATATTAGTTGTAATAGGTACTAATATTATTAGCCAACCCTCCATAGGGACAACTCTACATCAGCCTCAGTTCTTGCCCTGGCTTTACCCAGTTCTGCCCCTTGCAACCCTGACTTCTTCACTGGGCCCTTTTCCCTCCCTTCCAACTCCCTTGACAAACACAAATACACATCCCACATGTCTTGAGGTCATGCCCATTTTAAACTCGATCTGGCTCTGCTGAGAAACTCAGATCTCCTCCCTCCCAACACTATTGAAAGTGCCTTCATCTCTCTTACTGCTCAGCCCCCATCCTTATTGATGACCACTTAGACCTGGAGTTTAGGGCTCCCCAGCCCATCTCCCCACTACACCGATGGTATAGCCCATATGCTTCTGCATGAATGAGTCACGTGTAGGTTTTAGAAGGTGTAAGAAAGGGAAGGAGAGAAGGAGAGATGAATCAGGTTAGGTTACATTCTGCAGTTGTAACAAATAACTCTCCAAATCCAGTAGCTTCAAACAACAACCCTTTTCTCCCCTTGCTTGTGTGGTGTCTATCCGAGGTCAGCAAGGAAGTTCTACTCCTTGTAATCACTTCAGAGTGACAGAGTGACATTCAGAGTGACAGAAGCTTCATCTTGACTAGTGTCTCCACAATCCCAAAGGCAGGGGAAATAGGATGGCAAAACACTCAGGGGCCCCTAAAGCTTCCACCTGAAATGACACATGTCACTTCTGCTCATATTTCATTGGCCAAAGCAGGTCCTCCATCCAAGCATAAATTAAAAAGGGCAACGAAGGAAACTCTTCCCATTGGGGGGGGGGCAGGGGGATAGGGCACTAAGCAGGAAAATATATAGCCCCCTACTGGGGAGTGCACACCATGTGGGCCTCTTCCCAACCAGTCCATCCCTCCCAGAGCACCCAGGTCCCAGGGACTCTACTTCCAAGGGACCTGGCTGGACCTTTCCTCTTCTGAGACATAATTGGGCATTTTCCCTGACATGAATACAAGGCACATTTTACAAAACTGAATGTGCTCATGTGTATGTATGTTTCTAATTAAGACCTAATGCATGAAGCCATCAGATTTGCTCAGATTGGCCCAGCATTCAGAAAAAGCTGAGGTTTAAGAAACTCCTCAACCAATGGAGAATGCATGAATTATTGAAAGGATGGAAAAAGAGACCCAGGGAGGAAGGGCTGCTCCATTATTCATCAGGCCCAGAGTCCCCAGGTCCCCGAGCACTGCTGCTGGCTTTGACACCTACAGCATTTTCCCATTATGTCAACAGTGAGAGTTTCAAACACGCCGAATTGGCAGCCTCCAAGCAGGGTTCCCACCCACGCCATCCACTGCTTACCTCATGATCTGAACCAGTCCGCAGCTGAATTGTGGGCTAAGAATGTTGATATGTAGAACCCACCTACCCTCCGTTCCCGGGGCTTTCTGCTCACACGTCTCCAGGCCTGAGATCTAAAGTCCTTAAAAGAAGCAGGTCTTTCACTCGGACCCCAACATGTCTCTCCAGTTTCCTCTCCCTCCATTTGCTCCCCCTACCCAACCCCAGAACATTCGCCTTGCCCTGAATGTAATTTCATATTCTCATACCTTTGCCTCTGTTGGCCCCTCTGCCTGAAACTGCCTTCTGGTGCCTTTGCCTCCCCAGTGAACTCCTATTCATCTTTAAGACCAAATCAGAGAAGGGGCAACTAAATTCTGTTGGGAGCCCATGTGTTAGACGTTGGTGCCAACACTATCTCAGTGAGGTGTCACAACAACCCAGGAATGTGGGTGTTAACATCAGCCCCAGCTCCGTAATTTGTCGGGTCCAGTACAAAATGGAAATGCTGCCCCTTGTTCCCAAATGAATTCTGAGATGATAAAAGCAGATCACAAAACCAGGCACAGAGCATTTCAAAGAGTGAGCAGGTCTTTGTGACTGCACACATTACAAGCCCATGAAGTCAACCCTGGTTACTGAGGAGTAAACCAAAACCCAGAGGAGTCAAGTAACACGTACAAGGTCACACAGCTTGTTAGGGGCAGAAGGAGGCTGAAGACTTCGTTCCATCTAATGCAAATCCTTTTTCACTCAACCACCCACCTCCCGAGGTATCCTCACTTGCCTCAGGAAGAATGGTGACGGAGGAGGCTGGGAGCACCCCGGAAATTGATTTTCCTTTTAAAGGGTGACTTCTGCAGACAATGGGTCTGTTCCTTCATCCTGGGCATTGCAAAGAGAACAGCATCGCACAGATTAAAGAGGGAACTGATCTGGGAAGCAGGTGGCATTCCAGCATCCCTCAACTAACCCATAGGGGAGTCCATTCCCCCTGCCATACCCACCCTCACACCCTCATACCTTCCCTCTTCGGTTGCCTGAGGACTTGGCTGCTGCCCATCTGAGGTGACCCTATAAAACACAGATGCCAGGGCAGCGTCTCTGGCCTTTGCTGGGAATATTAAGTGCAGACCTTGAGAAAGGCGTATCTTCTGGCTGCTATGTCCATTTTTCACCTTTTCACGGCACTGACCCAGCTCCACCGGTGTTTTTGTTTGGTGACTTTCCTCTTAACAGCTTGAGCCCTGGGGAAATGCATCTTACTGATATTCATTCACTCAGCGAATATTAACTATGCACCTACTGTATGCCGGGCCTTCTGCCTTCAAGGAGCTCACAAGCACAGCCGTGGAGACTGTCAGTAAACTCACCATTGCTAAACTGGTGAGAGCTAGACGAGAGGCTCCTGGACCCAGGTGGGGGAAAGAGAAATTAATTATTGGGTCAGAAAGAGCAAACTGAGTAAGGTCTTGGAGAATTTGTAAGAGTTTTCCAAGTGGAGGAGAGTGCAAGTCAGGCAGAAGGGACTAGCACATCTGAAAGGGTTTGGGGCTGATGGACATTGAGGGTTTGAGAGATGTGAGCACTTGTCCAGGGGGTGAGAGGCCTCTCCTCCTTAGGGAATTCCAGGGGGTGGGAAGGAGCACTCTTGGGGAAGTAGGAGAAGAGAGAAAAAGCTCGGCATTTTTAGGCCTAAAATGCCTCAAATAGAAAATGGGCATCCTTCCCCAAAACTTCCAGTTGTCCCAACTCCACAGGGCCCCACTCACATGTGACAATGTTCTCCAATGATGCCCAGGTCAGATCTCAGCAGCAAAAGGGCTCCTGTTGGGGCTCCTGCCTTATAGTCTTCCACAGATATGTTCATTGCCGATGTCTTGTTATCGGCAACCTACTTTTGCCCCCAAACATATATATACTCTATGTCTTCCGCCATTTCATGGTCTACAGGGATTTTACCGACCCTCTAGCAGAACCTCCCTATGGCCTGGCTGGCCAACCTTATATCCTGGAGACCCCTTCTTGCAGGGAGGCGCCTCCTGCTTAGAGCAGAGGGCAGAAGCTGTTGCTCTGTGAGAAAGCCACACAAGTTGGACAAGGCTATTGGTCAGGCCGGGTTGCCATTACAGAGAAATGGGCGAGCATTCAGGCCAGAAAAGGTAACCCTTGGGTGCCAACATCCAATCTGACTGAACAAGGCCACCCTGGCTCCAGCTGCAGCTTTCAAATTAGTCATCGATGAACAAATATTTACTGAGCACCTACTGAGCGTCCAGGCCCCAGAGAATAAAGGAGACATATAGACTGAAGAAAGAAGAAATGTAAAAATGCTGGTTGCTACCATTTATTGTACATATATTTCCATTGAGTAGTTCAAAGAGGCAAACTATTTGCTTACTGCTACAGAAAGCAAGCATAGCGAGGCTTTAAACGCACAGATCCTGGAGCCAGACTGAGCTGGGCTGCAATGCTGGCTCTGTCAAATTCCAGCTGTGCGTCCTCAGGCACATCACTTCCTGTCTCTGTGCCTCAGTTTTCTCCGCGGTAGAATGGGATTGTTGGGAAGGCTTTAAATGACTTCATACAGACAAAGCGCTCCGAACAGTCCACAGCGCACAAGAAGCGATCAATACACACTCTGGCCTTGTTGCCGTGGTTGTTATTGTTAGTAACTGCCAAGCGGGAGCCTCTGGAATTTGAAAGGAAGTCTGACCAAAGTCAGGGGGTCTCAGGCAACCTCTAAGCGGCCCCGAAAGCCTCTCCTCCCCTACCCCAGGCCCCTACTTTCCACCTGCAGACCCCACGAAGGTGCTTCCCGCCGACGTGCTCCCCGGCCGGCCGCGGTGGAGGCCAGCGTCCGCAGCCCGCCGCACCCGGGGTGGCGGGGGGCAGGGGAGGCCCCGCCCCTGGCCCCGCCCCCCGGCCTGCCCCTCCCTCTGCGAGTTCGCGGCTCCGGCAGCGGCGGCAGCGGCGGCGGCAGCGGCGGCGGGTGCTCGGTCTCCAGCGCGGAGCCGTTCGGCCGGACGCGACGGGGCGGGCGCCCGGGAACCTGGTGCCGAACGTCCCGCCCCGCGCGCCGAGCCGGCGAGGGACCTCCGACCAGGGTCAGGGGCCGCGGCCGCTCCGGTGAGGTAGGAGCCGGGAAGCCGGCGGGGAGACCGGCTCTGCCATGCCGGGGGAGGGAGGGGCGGCGGGAGGACCATCTCCCGCCGGCGCCTCGGCCGCGGCGCGGGGCTGCCCCCCGTTACCGCGTCGCCAGGGGCCCCCTTGTCCCCCCGCGGGCGCGCGTCCGGGTCCGACGCGGAGAAGGAAGGGGCAGCGTGGCGGCGAGTGCGCGTGTACACGCCCGTGTGTGCGCCTGTGTCCGTGTGTGTGCGCGCGTGTGCGTGTCGGGAAGGTGCGGGGGAGGAGATGCCGCCCCCTCTTGGCCGGCGCTGCTGGGCAGTCTGGTTGCCCACTCCGACGCTGAGGGCACGCTCCCACGACGGGCTTGAGTGGGGCTGGCAGGAATTATCCGGATAATGCGGGAGCGAAAGCCCACCACCACCTGTTGAGCGGGGCTGTCCATCCCTGCCTCGAATTCCCCGCTTCTCCCTCCTGACCGCGGGGGCAGCGAGGATGCCCAGGTCCGGCTGGGTGCAGGAAGGGTCGCGGCCAGATGCCGGGGAGCAGAGACGGACAGGCAGGGGAGAAGAAACTGGCGGGGAGGGGGGGGCCCCCGCGGGCTGAGGCTGAGGGTGAGATTCCCACCCACCAGGCGCACACCAGCAAATTTCCCCCATCACTCCAAAGCCTCCCTCCTCCCCATTTTAATTACTTGAGCTGTCTCTGCTGCCCTCATCCTAATTTGGCAACCCATGAAGATGCAGTTCGTTAAAATTTTCAAAGTGAAGTCAAATTATCACTTCTTGGGACTGAAAGGGCTTTAAGAGGTAATTCCTGGAACCTGGCTGGGGAGGAAAGAGGATCCTATTCTGAGCCCCTCCAGGGCTGGCCTGGGCGTGGGCTCCCCGGGGGCCCTGGTGCAGCCTTGGGCCCTCATCTCCCCCTCCCCCCGCCAGAACTTGCCCGCTACCTCCATGTCCCCTTTTAGGGTTGAGGAAGCTCTTATTCGGGGAAGGGAAGGGATTCACCTGCTTTGTGGGATTATCAGTGACTGGACAAGAGCAGGACCCAGGACTGGGTCCCCAAGTGGGAGACAGACGTCACACTCCAGCTGTCACCTGTGCTGGCTCCTACTCCACACCATCCTAGGGAACAAAAGATGCAGTTTCCTTCCTGGCCACCTCATGCCACTCCCTCATCTCTCTAAACCCCAAGGCTTGATGAATTCACAGCCCAGGCTGGGCAGGGAGGGTGCAGAGATTTTGGCTTCGATCTGATGTTCTGGCTTCGGGACATCTCAGGACCACAGGCATCTTGGTGACATCTGCTGACACCCCAGCCAGCCCCCCTCGCAGAGTCTCCTGCCTGCCTGAGAAGCCCTCGCCCTGCCCCACTTCTCTGCTAACTTAGCAGCTGAGATGGCTGGGGGCATCCCATCACGGGGCCAGGTTCCCAGGGCGACTAGAAAAGATGCATTTTGTCGCCGTGTCTCAGATTTCCCTGTCCCAGACTTCTGCCTCCGTCTTACATGTGGAAGGCCGTGGACACCCTGAGGGGTGGGGTGGAGCCAGGACCGGCCTGTCCACACACATCCGGTTGGTGAGGCGCCTGGCGTCCTGGCAGCAGGCCTGTGAGAGCTCAGCCGTTCTCAGGCTGTGGGGTTCCCGGACTTGGGGCAGAGGAGGGCAGTGCAGGGGGGAGGTTGACTGAATGGTTCCCACTTGGCCAGAGGAGGCAGGCCCTATGTCGTCATCGTGGAAAACATGGGCTCCAGTCCCAGCTGGGCCACTGACTATGTGACATTGGCCAAGTGACAGACCCATCTGGACTCAGTTTCCTCGACTGTGGAATGGGGCCAGGGCTGTTGTGTAACGCAAGGACGCAGATGTCAGCGTCAGGCTCAGTGGAGGTGTTCAGGGCTGCTTGTCTCTGCTTCCTCCAGCCCCCATATGAGTCCCAGCCCTCGGCTTTGACGGAGGGGATTGCTAGGGTCCCTCATACCATCCTCGGCACTGGGGCGAGTGGTGTGTTTTTGTATCAGGGTAGCTCAGAGATTGAACTCGGAGTCCCAGAAAGTGAGGATGCAAGGGTTGGAAGCCAGTCTCCACCAAGCCCTGCCTCTGGGGGGAGCCAATGCTTTTGCCTCAGGCTTCCAGCCATGGGTGTCCTGGGCCTGCCCCACGTAGCCTGCTGGCTCATTCTTAGGTGGTCACTGGGCATGTGCCTCTCTTTCATTCCATTCTGCATTGGGGTCAGCCTTCCTCCCTGGCAGAATTGGGGCCAGCTACATGTGACTTCAGGGGCACCAGGAAAACCCCTGCCTGCCAAATACCCTGTTTCCCCAGACCTAGCTGCCTGCTGTCTAATATTTCAGCACTAGAGACTAGTTCCTTTGACTCCTGCTTTGTACCCATTTGTCAACTCTGAAACTTTATGACTCATTTAAAAGCGTTCATGGAGCACCTGGGAGGCTCTGTCATTAAGGGTCTGCCTTCAGCTCAGATCATGATCCCCAGGACCTGGGATTGAGCCCCACATCAGGCTCCCTGCTCCCTCCCCCTGTTTGTGTTCTCAAGCACTCACGCGCGCGCTCTCTCTCTCTCTCTCTCAAATAAATAAATACAATCTTTAAAAAAAGAAAAAAAGCTTTCAGGACCTTTGTGCGAGGGGAGAGGAAGAGAGCAGAGGAAGAGAGAAGGTGGGGAGAGCAGAGGAGGAAAAAAGGTACTTACTTTAACTGGCCCCAAAGTCTGCAGAGAAAGGGCCAGTTGGAGCCCAAGGAGGGCCCAGAGAGAGGGGAAAACTAGGGGAGATGGGGCAGGGCAGGCAGCGGGCAGGGGAAGTTGTGAACCTCCAGTGGGAATTCTCAGTGGGAATGGGGGGAGGGTGGCCCACCGAGGGAGCTGGGGCAGGATCTTGGCAGCCTGCTCCTGCGGTGAACTAGGCCCAAGGCAAAAGCATCCTTCCTTTGCTGCTGCTCCACCTTCCCGTTAGCACATGGCCACGTGGCAGTTAATGTATTCTAGGGTGGTGTTCTCTAGGGTGTCGTTTGGAGAGCCTGGGCTCATCATGCTGGCTGTTTAAAGCTGTCAGTGGTGATTTGTTAGGTCAGCAAAAGGCCTGGGCTGAGCGGGGCCAGGGGAGCTTTCAACTCCTGTGATTCCCTGAACATCCCATGTCCTTCCTCAGAAAGAGCAAAAAGCACTAAATTCACTCAGACCCGCAAGTCTCCTGGGCTGCGAGAGGCCTGGGGGCGCAGGCTCATCTGGGATCACCCTACAAGGCTTGTGGAGGTGGTTCCTTGCCCAGGTGGACACGTGGTCCTGAGGGTGGGGGTAGGGCTGAGAACTGAGTGTTCCTGCTGAGGGGGACCGATGAGCAGGCTGGATTCGGGGAGAGGCCGGCCAGCATCACTCAGGCCCTCACAGAGCCTGAAATATGTTCTGGTCTTGGCTCATGACGGTGTGGCAGCGAGCCGTTGGCAGCCCATCTGGGCGCTGCTGAGAGCAGGGCTCAGACTGGAGAGAAGTTACTGGTCACCGGTATGAGCTTCTGGCCATGAACTCCCAGATGACAACCATTTTTTAAAAACTGAGATGTAGTTGGCATTTAACGTTGTGTTAGTGCGATGAGCATTCCTGAAGATTATTTGCAATGATATCTGTTCTTAGATAGTGATGCAGCAGCAGCTCTTCGTTCTTCTCTACAATCATTTATTGAGCACCTACTGTGTACATGCTGGCGACTCTTCTGTGATGGGGATACACCTGGGGCACTATTGGCATTTGGGGCCAGATTATTCTTTTTGGGCTGTCCTGTGTGTTGCACGATGTTGAGCAGCATCCCTGGTCTCTACCCACTAAACGCCAGGAGCTCCCCTCCTCCCACCGTGACCACCACAAATGTCTCCAGACATTGCCAGATGTCCCCTGGGGGGCAGACTCACCCGCTGTTGAGAACCACTGGGGCTATAGCTATGAACAGAACAGACAAAATTCAATCCCGTTCCCTTAGGAGCAAGCATTCTAAAGAGGGAGACGAACAACAAATATGCTCACGAGGGAAAACAGAGAGTAGGCTGTCTGTGAAAGTGCTTGAGAGAAAGACAAGGCAAGGGCTGGAGGTTTGGGGGGTGTGGGGGGGTGCCATTTTCAAAGGGGGCACCCACCACCTGACCAGGGGCCAGAAGGAGGGGAGGGAGCAAGTGAGGCAGAGATCGGGACAAAGAGCCTTCCAAGTGGCAGGAAGAGCAAGGACGCGAGTGGCTGGGCGGGCAGCAGTGGGCCAGCTCCCGATGGGCCCTGATCCTGGTAGGGTCATGAGGGGGCTGTGAGGATTTCTGCTTTCCCCCCAGAGTGAAGGAGAGCCCCGTGCTCGCTACCTGCTGGGTGCAAACACCATCCCAAGTGTCCTACACCTATTCATACTGGTCCCACAAGGTGCATATGATTTCCTTGCCTCATGTTTCAAGGCCCAGAAGGGCCAAGCGATGTGGGTGGTACAGTCTGGGACACGAACTTGGGCTATACGCGCTCTACTATCTGACATTGACTTTGGAGCCACGCAGAGGTGAGTTCAGATCCCACCCAGCTCAGTCGCTTAGTAGCCGTGTGTGGCCTTGGACGAGTCCCAGAAGCTCTGTCAGCCTCAGCTTTTGCAGGGACTGGTGCATTGCCCCTCGTCCCCGGTGCGGCCTGTGCCAGCTCCTGGGCTCCTTTACTGTTTGTGTGCACGCGCGCGCCAGCGGGAAGCCAGAGGGCAGGCAGCACCCTCCCCTCTCTCCCAGCTCCGGGCCCTTGTTGCAGACATGTGCATCTATTCACTGAGCTACAGCAAGGCCATCTGGTGAGGTCAAGGCCAGTACCTCCCGAGGTCAAGGGAAGTTAAACCCTCCTGCTCCCTGTCCCCCTCCCTCTCCGAGGGCTGAGGAGGAGGAACCAGAGACGTAAAATCACTGGCTGCTAAGTGGCAAAGCCGGGATGGAACATAGGTCTCTCGGGTGCTCGAGGGGGCAAGCGTTCATGGT